AGTAAGCGTTTTCTGCTTCATCAACAACACCCACTATGTCAATCTTGATTGACAGCAAGTAAGTAATTTCAGATTCTCAAATGAGAACTGATATACAATATTGGATCAAACAAGCAAAGTAATGAGAATCAAACACGTCCAGGTTCATTTCGCACAAAGAAATAGAATATTATCAATGAGATCACAATGACGTCCGTAGATTTACATACCGATGTATGCTATTAGAAAGAATATAACGTCTGATTAACTAGATGACCGATGGTAAATTATTCCGTTTTGCCAACCTGTTTCAAATATGACCAAGGGAAGTATGAAATGTAAGAAATTCCATTCTATATTTTCAAAGAAATGACGATAACGAAAATGCCACTCCAGCTGATGACGGTGGATAAAAGTGGGGATTTTTTTAAAAATTTCGGCCTGGAGTCGATAAAAATGTTGATAGAATGTCAGAATAATTCGGACAAAGAACTTGCACGGAAAAATGATGAGTGTACCTAGATCAGAATAACTAGATATTATTATCACCAAACGTCTCTTGTTTATCATAACAAGAATATATGTCAAACTGATTATATTACATAAAGACATCATTCTCTCCATTTTGTTCATGGTGTAACATTATTGTATGCGTACCGCCTTTATACAAATACCACCTGTCTATAAAGGCCACCTTCTTTTTATTTTCCACTATATAAAGGCCATCTGTGTGTAAAGGTCACATTTCTCTGCTCCATGGAGCGGCCTTTATGGACGGGGTTGACCGCATATGTGTGAAATGGGTAAAAAATGTGTCATGTAAGGAATGAGTGTTACAAGGGAAATAACTGCATGTAAATTGTAACGGGTACCTAGATCCACAGCAAATGTTTGTTGTTTTACTTTCCCAGGAAAACAAACAAAGATACCACATGCATTATTTCAATTCGGCATATTTTGTATAAAACAGGACTAATGTGAAGTATACAGAGGAGTTAATATTATTCTATTTCTTCTTTACAATAGATACAAATGTGTCTATCTCTATGTCGATTCACTAGAAGATAAACATGGAGCGATTTTCACCTTACTGTAATTGATAAACATGACTAACTCATAATCATAGTGGATGTTGTCGACCTTTGCCGGTTACTTAAGTGTCTTATTGTTTTCGGTAAATAAATTTGCTCGTCTGATTAGACAAATAATAATAATAATAATAAATCTGTAGGTCCTTTAGTACCACGAGTGTCTTTTATAGTCGTTTGCATTCATAATTGACAATCGCCTTGCTAATTGAATTTACCACCATCTCCAACAGGTGCCTGTTACGTCGTAACATTATACACCAATCAAAAACGGTCTTTTATCACCTCCATGGTTTCTGGATGACAACAACATGGCGGCCAAAGCATGGCGGATTTTTTGACATTTATAATTGTGTACTCGGGTATGACCTCAGAGTGAGTGTATACACGCGACAGTGTGTTTCATGGGGGAAAAGAACCACACAGATTCAAAGGTAAAACCATTTATAATATATTATAATACATAACATGAGTTTATCACGAGATTTTTACAGGGTACACATATTAAACCGTATGATGTATAAATCGATAGGTGACACCGATCTTACCGTCTTGGCATAGTTAGCAGGAGTCAGTAACATTTGTGCGTCCATATGTATCCGCAGATTGCCTTGGTAGATTACACAGAAACATATCAGGAAGTTTTCTTAAAAATAAAACCACACACATTATTTTATAAACCGATGATTGTAGAACTAAATAAACAACACTTTTCAATAGAATGTTGACATTTTGAATGTTTATTAATTTGCTTGAAATTCTTATCAACAGTCTTACCACCTTAAGAAGACTTTAATTGTGATATTTTTAGCAGGTACATGTAGATATAAAGTAAAAATACAAGTATATACACAATACATATGTGCACTCTTAACAAATTCCTAAAATAGCTCCAACCCATCACATCTTTTTGACATTTGAGTCCTTTTTGTGAGGTAAATGATATAAACGTGTATTTTGTTTTATGGTAACAATTGAATAAAGATATCAGCATTTGATGGCCTGTTGATTATTTGGTAAATATTCTGTGTTAGTGGATATTGATAATTATTCATTTAGGTAGATGTACACTATTGGTTTTTGTTGTCTTTTACACCTGAAAAATACTGTTTCCTTTTTGCTAAAATGTAACCTGTTTTACCCAGGAGGAAGGAAAACAAAATCATAAGAACTATTCTGATATCTAAGAACATTTCAGTATTACTGTATATATCCATCATCATTTTATTTCATTTGTTTTATTGCACATACAACTTGAATTGAATGTTAGGCTGAAATGAAAATATTGTTTGTCAGGCATTGACCTATCAATCAAAAAATGTATCTCTGACTGAAAAAAAATAATGCTGAATGATTGAATCCAATTTTTAATCATTGTGAACATTGTTTCCAGAATCTTAAGTTTTTACTCTATAGATCTTGCATATTAGTGTTGTCTATTTCATTGTCATATAAACACTTTCTCTCCCCACAACCTAAACAAATGATTGACTTCAATTTGTGAACTAGACACAGATAATACACATTTCACTTTTTTTCTCCAAGAAAATAAAACATTTTCCCTACCTACTGACCAAAATTCACCAAAACAAGGAATGTTTTAAAGATGGTCTTAATATATTGATATTTTCATTCATGCTTGGCACTTCCTATAAGAGAAATGCCAGTAACTACTTTTCTGCAATGCTACAGAATTACAGTGTTTACCCAACAATAAGCCTAAAGAGGTAGAAATAAAAAAAAGATCTGATTCAAAGTGTTGTGTTGGCTTTTTACAGGGCAATGCTGTCATTCGTTAGCATTTCTGTATATACAAATTAGATTTGAATGAGCTAATGGCCAGACATGGACCTATAGATGAATCAATATGGTATATATTATGTTCAAATAAAGCTGATATGGATCATATTGGATAAACAGTTTTTTATGAATATATCTCTTATTCATAGGATTACTAGTTATCTGGTTACTTACTGTTGGTATATAGAAATAAAGAAGGTCTATTTGGTTTGTTAGGGGCAACAAGGTAAACCATAGATTTCATTCTGAGGTAAAATAAATGATTTGATGTGTCCTGAACCTGAGTATACACGTAACTTCATGCTTTGGGGTACAAAAAAAGGAGACATACAGGCATATATTGTATGTAACAATTTTACTCATTTTGCTATCGAAGAATATTTTCAGTTCCACAAGTGAATTTACAGCTTGACTAAATATTAATGTCAGTTTTAATTTACTTTTTCTATGCATTGGGTAAGGTAAGAGGATAAAAGTTGATTCAGGTATTTAATATTACTGTGTACCTAAGTCCTGTATAAGGAATGAGCTATCTCCTGGAAGATTATGTAGTCAGTCCTTTCATAGACATATCAGAAATTCATTGAATTTTAACATTTATGCCAATAAATGCCAAGATATCACTTACTTTCTCATGATTTTTAATATTCATTAGATTTTAAATGGTTCAGATTTAGATTTGACAGTAAAACAATTTCCACTTTGAATATTTCTTAACGTCATATACACTTCAGACTTTAAGCTAACAATACTTGAGATGAAATAAGAACTGTTATATTGTACCAGTAGCTGGTGGTATATAAACAGAAAGCTAATGATCTTTTAGTAATACATTGGATAATTATAAACAAAATATTAAAGTCAATATTAGCTGTTTACAATATGGACCGAGTTGGAGTTCGATCAGGAAATATAGAGTTATTGTATTCCAATAAAGTTTATATAAACAATGTTAACATTTTTAGTATTTGTGCTACTACTTTGGTAAGTCAATGGAATATAAAACACCCTTTTTTTTTTGCAGTCAGTTTAGTGGCATTATCAAATGACTCAGATAAACTCTGTGTAACCCCTGTGTGTATACTTACTATATACACAAAACCCACTATTGTATACATGTGTTATGCTTTTGAAATATCCTGTTGTAGCTCATCCCTATATCCCTATTAAAATGTATCCCTAGTTATTGTAATTCCAGCCATTTCTCACTATCCTGCAATGTAATATTCACCCCTACGTCCCTATTACAAATGTATCCCTAATTATTGTAACCCAAGTCATTTCTCACTATCCCGCAGTGTATTACTCAGCCCTTCATTCCTATTAAAATGTATCCATGTATCCCTAATTATTGTAATCCCAGCCATTCCTCACCAGCTTGCAGTGTAATACCAGGGATGTATAATACTGTATTATACGTCCCTGGTAATACTCGCCCTACATTCCTATTACAAATATACCCCTTATTATTGTTACCCAGCCATTCCTTTCTACCCTCAATGTTATACTCACTTCAACACCTCTATTACAAATATACCCATAAGTATTGTAACCCCTGTAGAGCCTCATCACTACTCTCACCCCTATTACAAATTGTGCCCCTCAGTATTAAAACTCTATTCCTCCTTACTACCCTCAATGTAATTGTATCCCTCGGTATATAGTAACCTCTTGCTATGAACCTCTGCTACGGTACTTCTATCATCATTAAATCAAATTTTGATTAATTGCATTATGAAGTAAAGCTTCAGGTTTAGGCTGACCATGCTTGATGCAGAAATAGCAGGTTTTGCCACATGGCCCTCCTGGCTAAAATATCTATTTATAGCGCAGGAGATGATCAGCAGCTGAAGCAGTATAACCTATATCAGAAAAGGTAACTAACTGTACCTATCAGTTGATGGTTTTTGGAAAAGCAAGAAAATGAAACAGACTGTATTTTCTTTTCTTTAGATCAGATGAAATTACTCTTCAGGAATTAAGGAATATAGGAAAATGAGATGCATTATTGAGTTTTTTTTGACAAACATAATAACCAGTTATTTTATACTTCTGTAGATATTTATTGTTGAATTTGATTTTTTTTCTGTCAGAAATGTTTGGAATTTTGTTGCAGAGCAGTAGGAAGTACCAAGATGGAGTTTGTTGTGGATCTGTTTGGGGGAGGAGAGTTAGACATTGTTAGATTGTTTCGGAAAAAAATTAGTGTGAAGATATTTGGTTGGATTATGAGCTGACAAATGTGTAGGGTTTGTTGGAGTGGAGTGTATTCTGTGAGATGCACACATAGTTACTGAAATGGAATGTCATATTGGAAACACTGCACCATAAAAACTTAACATGCTTATTTAGATACTTTAAATCTAATTCATGTTTTAACAAAAGCATTTGCTAAAGAGTTTTTTCTCTGGAAATGTGAGAATTTATCAAAAATTTGTAATTCAATGATAAAATTCATCACACCTGCAGGTATCACAAAAAATATAATTTTGTCAGATATATGAAATTGATTGTACTACAGTAGCATTCCTACTTTCACAAAAGACTCACAGGCTTCGTTTAAGGTTGAGGGTCATCTGTATTGACCTTTGACCTTGATTAGAGGCTGTAATGATGTCCAACCTGATCTGTATCTGCTGTTTACGGCGGAGAATGCACAAGTCCTATCCTCATACTTATGAAGAGGCTGTCATACCCGTAATTATTGTTTATTTTTTATTGAAGGATTTTCTTTTCTTTTTTGTTGAATTAAGATTGTTTTCGGTTGCCATAGTTTCATACTCCTGACTTATGATTTTGTATGTACACATTGTGCTTTGTAAGTCAAATATAAGTTTCACGTATCGAATATAGAACTATGTTATATAAAAAATAACCCTTTATTTTAATACAGAATGTTAAATCTGACTCCTGTTATATCTGAAAGTTACATAGCTAGGGTGCCTTTTAGGGTTAAACAGATGTGGTGGTGAGGATGTACACTCTACAATTATGGCAGATTATTTTTGCAGGAATATCAGTGGAAGATTGAAAAGATTTTAAATTTCTTCATATAGATGTTTAGGGTTTAAACTGTTCTGATATACCTCTATGACTTCATAAAAATCTGAAACTGACACACTTTTGATGTGATATAGATAAATCATATATGATATGAAATAGACAATATTAAGTCTTGACAAGGTTCTAGTAAACAGTTGGGCCACAATTAACTGCAGCATTCAGTACTTTACGACCATAGGTGACGATCTGAGGGGCGTGGTTTGTGTCTTATTCATGGCAGTGTTTGATCCTCAGGACGCTGAGATTAAACATCGAAATTAGATGTGGATGTGTCCTTGGGTAGGACACTTTTCCATTATTAAGTTGATTACCAAGTTACAAGCTTCTAAATGGTTGTCAGTGAGGTAACGACCGCTGCTGACAAGAAAGACAACACTTCAAAAATTATCCTGTCAGTTCACAGAGTGATAAACATTGCATGTAAACAAAGTAGTCATGAAACACACTGAAAATATCAAAAGATGTTGTGCTCAGATGTTTTGACACATCTTCAGAACAAGCTTTAGGGCCTGCAGTATAAAACATTTATTGATAAAAAATTTCATTCAAAACCAAATGAAACATTCATTCCACATAAATGACAGAACAATTTTATTTTAGTATTTGTTAATAGTTTCTTTGCCTTGGAAGACAGGAAGTCAAGTTACCGGGGTACACTTCATTACTTACCTGTGTATTGTATAGTATCAAAGGAAATTTGATAAAAACTTGGGACTTGAAGTGTATCATACTGTAGCATGTTTGCAGTTGATCAAGATAGTTCTCTCTTTGTGTCTGAGATATCAATAAAGTGGCCCTGTGTTATATTGTACCACTCCAGAGAATCATTGTTTAGTATGTGTGTGTAAATATGTAAGGTATTCCTGTCACTTTTAACTGTGAGATATAAATTATTTCTGTAAATTTACACTAGAACATGAGACAGTAGTAACATTTTTGCGTACATTATAAAATTAACTGAAGGATGCCATTCTCTTAACATGTTTCCATATATATATATATATATTTATGACGGTATTTTGCAATGCTATTGATTTTGGGTACTGAAGCAGGAACGTTTGCTTCACTAAATGACTGTTGCTGCACCTGTTATATACCTGGCACAGAAAGAACCTGATTAACTTCAACATAATAAAGAAACTTCATAGTAATTATTTCTTTTTTACCATCTGTTTGCAGATTTCAGGAAATGAGATGACAACAGTATCCGGGCCGAATGGCCAGACAGATTCCCCGGTATGTAAATCATTCTTAATTCTGACAGACTCCCAGGTACATGTACACATGTTCCTTATGACGAAAAATCCAAGATGGCGGACACACGTACATCTTGTGAACAAGGGGGTTGCCTGCAAATAAGCCCCCTCCCCTCTTTTGAAAAGTCTTTTTTAAACTGGGTGGGAGGGGCTTATTTGCGGTAAAATACGGTAGTCACTATTCATTCTGAGAGACATCCAGGTACATGTACACATAGTCAATATGAATTCTGAGAGACACCAAAGTTTACATATGAATCGGTTACCTGTGTGTGTTCGTAGTATCTGTTATCTGTATGTGCTGGTAGAATCTGTTATTTATATGTGTTTGTAGAATTTGAAACCTGTATGTGTTTGTAGAATTAGTTACCTGTGTGTGTTGTAGAATCTGTTACCTGTATGTGTTGTAGAATCTGTTACCTGTATGTGTTATAGAATCTGTTACCTGTATGTGTTATAGATTCTGTTACCTGTATGTGTAATAGAATCTGTTACCTGTGTGTGTTATAGATTCTGTTACCTGTATGTGTTATAGAATCTGTTACCTGTGTGTGTTGTAGAATCTGTTACCTGTATGTGTAATAGAATCTGTTACCTGTGTGTGTTGTAGAATCTGTTACCTGTATGTGTTATAGATTCTGTTACCTGTATGTGTTGTAGAATCTGTTACCTGTGTGTGTTATAGATTCTGTTACCTGTATGTGTTATAGAATCTGTTACCTGTATGTGTAATAGAATCTGTTACCTGTATGTGTTGTAGAATCTGTTAACTGTATGTGTTGTAGAATCTGTTACCTGTATGTGTTTGTAGAATCTGTTACCTGTGTGTTATAGATTCTGTTACCTGTATGTCTTTTAGATTCTGTTACCTGTATGTGTTGTAGAATCTGTTACCTGTTTGTGTTGTAAAATCTGTTACCTGTATGTGTTGTAGAATCTGTTAACTGTATGTGTTGTAGAATCTATTACCTGTATGTGTTATAGATTCTGTTAACTGTATGTGTTATAGATTCTGTTAACTGTATGTGTTTGTAGAATCTGTTACCTGTATGTGTTTGTAGAATCTGTTACCTGTGTGTGTTATAGATTCTGTTACCTGTATGTGTTATAGGTTCTGTTAACTGTATATGTTGCAGAATCTGTTACCTATATGTGTTTAAAATTGACTTATCTCTGTTGAGAACTGACATTCTGTAACAAAATTTTCATTTGAGGTAAAGTTGAGAATGGGATGTTATAGAATATCATACCTGAACTGAGATAAGTTAATTTTGAACACATTCAGGTTGTAGATTATTTTTCTTGTATATTATAGTATAAAGCTTTCTCATCTAGTTTTATTTCCATATTCTTTTGATTTAATTAGATTGCCTCCATTTGAGGTTAAGGGTCAGAAAGAGGATATAATATGTATTACTTCATTTTAATAGCGAAGTTAATTGACACTGAATATTGTGTAAATGTACCAGACAGGTTGAACAAAACAGAAAAATGTAGCATTGGATAGGCAATAATATTTCCTTGTCTTACATACACTGTGTTATAAATTTATTGAGGAATGTATGCCTGTCAAAATATCCCCATTACCTAAGCACATTCATGATCTTTCTTTATAAATTGACCCAACTTATTTGGACTGTTGAAGAGGTACACAATTGTTCAAGTATGCATTTGTGCAAACAAGCTATATTCAATGATTAATATTAGGTCTTTTCGTTGTTGGAGAACTCCACTTGTAATTTTTACTTATCTTAGAGGTGTATGAAGGAAAATTTTGAAATTTCAAAATGTAAAAAAAAAAATAATGCTACAGGTTAGTTTGGTGCCATACTTAAAATGCTGTTATTTAAGATTCTGGGCGGTCTGACACCTAGTAGAGTCAGGTATAACATAACTGGTAATTGTATTACTTATATACCTGTATACGTAACGATTAACCCTTGCAGGTGTATACTAGTTTAGAAGTATGAAAACATTGGGGTCCTTTAAATGACTGTTACCTAGAACATACCAGGTATAAAGTCAATGTGTATTCATGAGCTTTATTTACACATTTGTTCTCAGTAATAAAGTCCATACCTGTGTACATGTATTTAGCTAGATTAGATTTGTTACCTGTAATTGACGACCTGTGTCTACCTGTGAATAATTTATCATTGATTAATTTGATTTCCTAGTGATAACTGATAAACCTCTGAGTGTTGTTTGTCTAATATGCCATAAAAAAAATATGGACTTGTTAAATTGTTGGCATTCCAACTGTTTAAAATCAGCTTAAACAAAAAAAATGTTCAATGACATACAGTGTGTGGAGGAATTACATATCAAGGTTACTATGTTAAAAATAATTTGAGATCCAAAAGCAGTAGGATTTTGAAATTCGTTTTGACAATATTTTTCAGGTTTTTTTATACACCATATTTTCCCTGCAATAAGCCAAGGAAGCCAAAGTACAGAGCTAAATGGAAAGCTTATTGTCTTACAATGAAATTATGTTAAATTGTAATATTGCTGAACAGCAAAAGAAATGTGTGGCCTTATTACCAGGCATTGCCTTATCACTGGTATACATAGAATTTATTTCTTAATGTTTTGGTTAGGTCCTCTTAGAAGTGTCATACAAAAAATTATGTTTGAATAAATATTTTGGATTCCATTTTGAGCTTTGAGCAAGTGTATATATGTATTTAGTTGTCACTTAATTTTCAAGTTTCCTTACCGAATTTTAAATGCTATAGAGTTGTTTACTTTCATGGGACTAATATTTCCTGGTTTGTTCCAGTTTTGCTAGCTCACATGTATTAAATTTCAGGCATTTATATGAACTGATATTAAGGTATACATGCATATCGGTAACAGTTATTTTCATTTACTGTAGCGATGTTTGCTGAGTATTTAATTTTGTGCTACCTTCAATGACCACAGATATAGCAAAAATAAATTCTCACAGATATGACCTACTATACAGTAACATATCATCTCCGTCAACTGTTCATTCATTAGTAGAATTCTCCATAACTGTTCTCTTCAATCTTTTACTTTTTTATTTTATATCCTGTTTTTATTATGTGTGAATGTAAGAAATAGCTATTCTTTAACTTGAAATAAAATTTGTAATGGATGGCAGCTTATATGTGGTAGTTCAAAAATTTGATAAATCTGATTCCTGGTTGTAGGATTTTATTTTTCATTCTTGAAAACCAAAAATTTTAGAATTTTTTTACATTCATTGAAGTGCATCCTTGATATTCCAGATGTTATTATCACTTTTGTTCTCCCACCCCGGGATCATTTCATGGCAAAATTGATGGTTCCAAGTGCAACACTTTTTGAATGAAACGAAAAGACTTGTTTGATCCTTTGATGTGCATCAAAGGAATCTCAAGGTTGCACAACATTTTGTAATCTTCAAAGGAGTATATAGTTTTGTGATCAGTTAGATTTTTTTCTCCTGAAACCTGCTATAGACCAATCAAATTATTACCATTGTGCCTTACATTTTGCCAGAAAATGTTCCAGAGGTGCAGAGAGTGAAAGTGATCATAACCCCTGGAGTATCAAGGATGATTGAAATGTGACTAAAGCATATGGACATTATGTAATTTTACAAGAGATTTGTTTAGAACTTAAATGTCAGAGTGCAAAAAATCTAATATAATTCAGGAAAAACACAACAAATTCTTGGTGTTTCCTTTCACACATCACTAATTTTGCTAATCTGTTTCAGGGCGACATGCCCAGTGGTGCCCTCAGTACAACAGATGAGGGCATCTCCCAGCAGCTGGAGCATGTCACACAGATGCATGCCGCGGCAGTCAATGGCGACAAACCTTTCCTGGCAAGACTTATTATCTGTGAGTAAACTGTTAACATATATCAACATAATCTTAAAGAATGGGTCTTAATACATATGTTATTTTATAGAGGTGTTTCTTCTTAATCAGACTGTATCATTTTCTCACAAGACTGACACATTGTCAAATTAGCCAAGGAAAATTTCTATGTTAAAGTGTAAATTCTTTCTCACGAGGTCAACATTACAATTTACTGGTTATAAGGATAATGATAGTTTGCTTATATTGGAGCAGTAGAGGAACATAATACTTTCCATGAATAACTTTAACATTGATTTTTTCAAGCTCATCTTTATGAATTTGTTTGAAATGTTGGTCCTTTGCCGTTCTCTCCTTATAATGACAAAATGTATATAAAACCAGTAAGGCATGTTATTCTCCAGGTAACTATCAGTTTGTAAAATTGTAATTGTTCGTCACAGCAAATGCATCTGATGTGGACACGGGCGACCAGTTCGGTCGGACGCCTCTTATGTTCTGTATCCTGGCTGACCGCCTGGACTGTGCAGAACTCCTTCTCAAGGCCGGTGCTCAAGTCAACAAAAAGGATAAAGGTGGCCGAGCTGCTCTACACTGGGCTGCACACAAGGTAAACTTCATTTGTACTGCTAAGGTACAGCTTCTGCTGTCAAAGAATTCTGTAGGAATATAGTTGTAAAAATTATTGTGGAAATATTCCTACAAAATAAGTGTACTGCATACATATACTTCAAAAATATACTGCCGAAGTATTCTGTAGGAATATACTGCTGAAGTATTCTGTAGGAATACAATGTCAGAGTACATGATACCAAAATTACCAAAGTATACTGCCAAGAATATGCTACCTTAATATACTACTCGCAAATACAGATGCTAAAGTGCACTGCCAGCATGTAATGCTGCTTAAGTACACTGCAAGCAAATACTGTCAAGGAAGTACACTGCAAAAATACACAGCTTAAATATACTGCCAGCATATACTGCTGCTACTGTATACTGCCAGTAATACTGGCAATGTATTATATTAAAGTGTACTGTTAAGGTATAGAATCAACTGATGTACATGTACTCATACAATTTCTCTCTTTTACGAGCACACTTATAATATTGATGTTTTAGACTAATTTGTAATCTATTAGTATCAGCTGTGGATTGGTTTAATCAGGAAGTATATCTATTTAGATTTACATTTTAAAACTTCATTTCTTGTCTTTGAAGGGAAATTTTCGGTTGCTGAAGTTATTGCTGTCCAAAGGTGCAGACTGTCGGGAGAAGGACAGTGAAGGGCAAACAGCACTACATTTATGTACACGACATAAATCGGCAAAATGTATGGCGCTGTTGTTACGCCAACTATCGCCAGGGGAATTGGATAACCAAGATAAAAATAAGGTAAATGACATGTCCCACTGAGGAAATCAGGCAACGTTAATTATATTTAGTCGAGAAAATGCAATAAAGTTTTAGGTAACATATTTTTGATAAAGCCTTTCATAAGAAACAAGTTTGTTATAGGCAAAATAATTATATAATGATGTACTTGGTCTATTCAGGGACACAGAATTTATCATAATAAATTCTATGTCTGTATTATTTTTACTTTACCTTGTAATGAGTCACTTTGTATCTTTAGCATCTTAAAATTAGGTTAATATTTTTCTATGCTTTATTTTCCATTGAAAAGATTAGAGATGGTTTGTGATCTTCAATGAAAAATTAAACTTGTTACGAGATGAATCAGAGAAGATCTTCTTTCTTCTGTTTCTAGAGAACAGCACTTCACTGGGCAGCTTCATATGGAAACATGGAACATGTCAAAATGTTAATTAAACAGGTGAGTTTATTTCAATAACACACTTCTACCTATGTATAATCAGTATTTATATCAAATATAATATGTATACCCCTTAGTACTATTTACAGGATATTCATTCAGTGCAGCACACCTTTCAGAAATATTTATGTGTAACATTTGATCTAAAATCTTTTTAGTGTGGATATTTGTATATATTTTGCTTTAGATCAGTGTTGTTTTTTGTTTTCTTCAGGATTCCAATATTGGTATTCCTGATATTGAGGGGAAAACTCCTCTACACTGGGCAGCCAGTTGTCGGGACAGAGATGCTGTTAACTGTGTGAGGATCATCCTGGTAAGTCTTACCTATCTATAAAGGTCACCTATCATGAGGGGTCACCTAGCTATTTATAAAGGTCTACCTCTCTGTTTAGGTCACTTGGTTCCATACTAAGATATCATGGTCATCTCACAGTAAAGGTCACCAGCTGACTCTTTATTAAAATTATCTGTCAGGAAAAGCCACAAAAGTCACCTGCCAGTCGAGGTCACCTGGATGTTTAATATAAATATAAACTTTATTTATTTTACAACAATTGCGAAACAAGTTATGTCAACTTATACTAATCACTCTTGTTGGCCAGGATGTGGGTGCGCGAGGGGTCTTATTGTGGGAGGAAACCGGAGTACCCGGGGAAAACCCACGTGGTCGGGCAGGTGACCATCTTACCTTTTCACGTCCGTTCTGGGAATCGAACCCCGGTCGGCTAGGTGAAAGGCGAGTGCATTACCACTGCGCCACCCAACCACCTGGATGTTTATTAAGGTCACCTCTCAATAGAGGTCAACAGCTGACTGTTTATCAGTCACTTGTCTGTAGAGGTCACCTAGATGTTTATTAAGGTCAACTCACAGTAGAGGCAAACAGCGGACTGTTTATCAAATGTCACATGTTTAATATGACACCCTCCCTCCCCGTTTCTATTAAAGTCACCTGTCTCATGTGACTTATCTATAAATGTAACTTCAGCTGTTAATTTCAGTCAGCTCATTAATTAAGTCTGATTGATACAGTTATCTTTATATCAAGGTGATCTCATTGGTGATGAAGCAGAAAATGCTTACCATTCTTGAACACCTTGTCTTGTTCTCTGTATACTTTATCAAGTGTCCAAGTTCAAATTTTGATAATATTTCACCTTAATTTCAGTCATTTTATGTTTAAATGAAGATATTTTTTATTAATTTTTTTTCTGCAGAGCTGAAAAGACTCACATTCACATAAAGATTTCAATCTGAATTATTCCTTGATTTGTCAGGATACTTACAGATTATCAAATATATCTTCATCCGTTTCAAATTCTATTTCTCAGGAGACAACACCTAGTGTGATCAATTGGCAAGATTATGAAGGTCGGACAGCCCTTCATCTTGCTGTTGCTGATGGTAACGAGGCAGTTGTGGTAGCACTGGTAAATTGTTTGTCTTCTCCATGTTTCTTTAAATATCTGTCATCATCCTGGTAAAGTACATTAATGCATATACAGGGTGGCAATTGTTTTTCCTCCTTCCATTTTTCCAGGAAATACAAGATTTTATTATAATAACTGTTAAGAGAAGTAGAAATAAGCTCAAAAATTATTTGACCATTGAGTCGTAAATGTTTGATATTAAAATTCCTTTTAATTTGACTGTTTGTAAGATAATGCAGATATATGACTATATATTGAAATTTCAAACAAATGTTATTTCATTGTCCTATGATAAGCCCACTCCTAGTCTTTGAGTAGAATCTCTATTGTCACCCAGGGATGATTTTGTAATGTAATATTTCTTAAACACAGAGCCTTTCATAGTTTTTTATTTTCATTGTAGACATCAGTGGAAAACTGTAATGTGTCGGCATTAGATAATATGTTTAGAACTCCTCTACACTGGGCGGCTGTACTAGGTAAGCTAGGTTGTCTAGTGTCACAGACTTAATATTGTCATGTACGTTGTTTAGCATCATTTACGGTCTAGATATAATCATGTATATTGTCTTTTGTCAATCTTAGTCTAAATATAGCATTTCACATTTTGGGGATTTCCAATCAGGGATAACCCCAACAATGGTATAACTGTACTGTAAAACCATTTATTTTTGTGGAGTTAATTTTTGTGATTTTTAGGTCATCTGACCCGAAGGGTCCGATGACCTATAGTCATCATGCTTCGTCCGTCGTCGTCCGCCGTGCGCCGTGCGCCGTGCGCCGTGCGCCGCAACTAATATTTGGCCTGTGCTTGCCGTGCGCCGTGCGCCGTCCGTAAACTTTTAAAATTCAAACGACTTCTTCTCAATAACTGGAAGGCCCAGGCAACTAATATTTGGCCTGTAGCTTGCTTTGATGAAGCCCTACCAAGTTTGTTAAAAAGAATGACCTTGACCTTCATTCAAGGTCACAGGGGTCAAATGTCTTAAAATCTTCAAACGACTTCTTCTCAATAACTGGATGGCCCAGGCAACTAATATTTAGCCTGTAGCTTGCTTTGATGAAACCCTACCAAGTTTGTTCAAATGAATGACCTTGACCTTCATTCAAGGTCACAGGGGTCAAATGTCTTTAAATCTTCAAAGGACTTCTTCTCAGTAATCAAAAGGCCCAGGCAACTAAAATAAGGCCTGTAGCATGCTGGGATGAAGGGCTATCAAGTTTGTTCAAATGAATGACCTTGACCCACTTTAAAGGTCACAGGGGTCAAATATGTTAAAATCTTTAAACAACTTCTTCTCAATAACCAAAAGGCTCCGATTGCTGATATTGTGCCTGTGGCAAATATGTTAAAATATGCAATGCAAAAGGATGAAGGGCTATGCAAGTTTGTTTAAATGAATGATGACCTTGAACAACTTTCAAGGTCACAGGGGTCAAATATGTTAAAATATACAAATATGTTAAAATATACAAAGGACTTCTTCTCAACAAGCAAAAGTCCATGAGTGCTGATATTGGGCCTGTAAGATGCTTGGAGGAGAGGCTACCAAGTTTGTTCAAATGAATGACCTCAACCCACTTTCTAGGTTTGGCTTGTTTTTTGTCAGATGACCGTTAAGGCCCATGGGCCTCTTGTTCAAAAAAATAGTTTTTCATGGAGACTTGATTTTGTGGTTTAATATAGCACAATAAATCTATTTTATATACTAGTATCAACAGTTCCTGGACACATAGATTTGTGGATTAAGAGCATCAGTACCCATGATATCAATGAAAATAAATTCCTCTCAAAAATTAATGGTTTTACAGTATTCGGATGCATCCAAGGACATAAAGATAGTGATAGGTACTGGTTAATGATCTTTATAAAGATGTATATTTGACTGGGTTTTTTTTATCAAATTATTGAAAATATTTTTAAAACAAAATTTTCTCAGAAAACTTAAGAAAACTGAAGTGAATCATACTAAATTTCCCCAGAAAAGTTAAGAAAACCGAAGTGAATCACAATATCACTGTTGTATTTCCAGGTCATTCTAAGATTGTAGGACTTCTGCTAGATAATGGTGCTGACTACGCTAGCTCAGACTCTAACGGTGCTACCCCACTACACTACGCATCTCAGAACAACTACGATGTAAGTCACAGATGTTGTGATATTGGGTAGGAGAATCCTTTCACATAATACCATTGGAGACAGTGGATGTACACCTATAAAATACAGTTGATGGAAGACGTCCCATGAAAGAATTTTGGAAGAAGCTGTTAGATGTTATAAAAGAAAGTCCTATGAAGCATCTTTGAAGGAAGCTTTTCATCAGTATAATTTTGGAAGAAGTCCTTTCATAAAATATTGTTATAGGATCCATCCCTTGAAATATTGTAGGAGAGAACCTTCCCGTGAATTTGAAGATCGACTTATTTCCAGATTATCTCCCTTTATGGCAGAAATTGATGTGCAAAAAATATATTTTTTAATTCTTTTACAAGTTCAACAGTATTTCTTTGAGATGAGCAAGATCTGAAAGAAAATATTCACTTTCAATTTATTAAAAAATTTATATGTTTTTATTTTTGAATACTTATTTGTTATGAAATATTTGGGTCTTCGACGATATTTAACCTGGTATAAATATATGAAAGACAACTAAATATGTTTGTATTCCTCAAAGTTACTGTCTTTTTTTTTATTTTTTCAGGACACTGCCGCTGTTTTTCTTTCGCGTAAAAATGTAACTGATGAACCAGATGTTGATGGTCGCACAGCGTTTATGTGGGCTGCTGGGAAGGGTGCTGATGATGTCATTCGGATATTTCTGAAACACAACGTAGATATTCAACAAGTTGATAATAATGGAGGCACTGGTATGTATAAAAAGTAATATTTGCTATCTATCCACCAATTTTTTCTTTCATAATCTTCTTCTCCAGAACTGAAAAACCGAGGATCATATTTGTCCAATAGCTACATAGGAAAAAGAGACGTATACATGTAGCTGCTTTAAATATAGAATATGAAAATAACGTAGTTGACAAAGATGTCATTTTTTGCTTTGAGTATAAAAGATATTGCATTAAAAGTTTAGAGAAATAAGCCTGACAAAAATGTAGCTTACAGGTCTCAAAAATTGTTCAGGGGTCAAACTCATATTTCTTTCGACCAGATGAATATATAATAGTATATCTCTCTTCTTTACTAACTTCACTTATTTGACAATCAATCTGCCTGATTATGAGCCTACCTACATAAGTATTGCTTTTCCTTAAAATTACAAAACAGTGATATTTCTTTGTCCTGTAATAAGCCCGTTCTTGGATTTGGCATAAAAAGTTTTTGTTTTGTGGGCTTGTTGCACGATGATTAAAAAAGTTACTTTATGAAAAACGTCTTAACTTACAGCACTGCATGCTGCCTCGCTCTCCGGTCACCCTTCAACGGTCAAGGAATTACTTGACCATGGAGCCCAGCTGGATGCTACAGACCTCACCAAGCACACACCTCTGTTCCGAGCCTGTGAAATGGGACATACAGACGTTGTACAAACATTGATAGATTTTGGGGCACGTGTGGATGTTTTGGATCAAGATGGCCGATCACCGTTACACTGGTAAAATCTAAAGCAGAATTTACTTCAATTTAATTCAACCATGCTATAAATTCATTGTCTCAATACATTACCCTACTCCAGACAAATATCTTAAGTCCTGTGTTAGGGATACATGGGAAGTTTGAGCTTGTGCATTTAACTATTTTAACAGTTTTACCATGTGCTGGTTATTTTTGGGGGATTTACATTTTTGCTACATTCTGATACATGAACATGATCGCGAACATTTTTTGCATTCAGATTGTGAAATTTTGATTCAATTGTTAAAATATCGTTTTATGAGTTTAAAAAGAAATCATGAAAATTTTGACCCATGAAAACTATCACCAATGTGGTATAATAACTAATTTTTATCTATGACTTCAAAATGATGTTGATTACAGATCTGAAATTTTATCTGGTTTATATTTCTATTTAATTATAACGACATTTACCAAAAAATACTTTACAATTTGTTCATTTCAGGGCTGCTTTGGGAGGCCATGCATATATCTGTCAGACTTTGATCAAATATGGTGTTGATCCAAACATTAGGGATTACAGTGGGTGAGTTGTTACTCAGAGGAGGATACAAATTCTGTAATGCATGATGGGAAGTTTGATTGATAATTTGAAAATTTAAAAGCATGATGGGAAATTTTGAGTAAAAGAATCAACACATAATAACAATATCAGCAAAGCATAATGTGATGTAATTTTTTCTAAAAAAATTTGAATGATTTCTCAAAATCTGTTCAAAGCACAGAGGAAAACTATCTTCAGTATTAAATATTAATGCCACATAGGTTTATCTTTTCATAAAGTAGATGAATGGTACTGATTTATAAGAGTTATCATATTAACGTCAGAATGTTGGTGGTTGATTTTTTATTTTAAATTACCTAAATATACCATGATAAGTCACTGTGTAAGAAGGATAAATTTTCTGAGTCTGTTTATGTTATTACATTCTTATACATTTTATTCCTTTCAGTCGGACACCACTACAATGTGCAGCATACGGAGGTTTTGTAAATTGTATGTCTGTTCTAGTCGAACACAAGGCTGATATCAATGCTCAAGATTTGGAGGTAAGTAGGATCATCTGATGACAATACACAATATTTTAGTCTCAAATCTACAATATATACAACATATTTATCTGACCCATATCTGCTAATAAGCCCACCCACATCTATTACTTTACCGAAAAAATAACCTTCAAATGCTCTCTCATTGTCATGTCAATCCTCTAATAATTTGGAGTCCTGATATAATGTCTTTGGCCCTGGGGCATATTATAGGATATATAGGGTGATCAAGGCATCCATAATTTAGTTGGATCAAAATATTAAGACATGTAAAAATTTTATTTTGTATTTTTTTTTACAAGAAAAAGAATATATTCCAAGCATGTTTGAATTCTTTTTAAAAATCTCAGGCTGACATTCTGTAACACATCATCATTTATTTTGTCTTGAATGAGATTTTGTTACACATACAGGTAAATTATTCTATATTCTATCTCTCTGTATATTCCTTCTTACTCCTAACAAATGGTACATAAAGTCATGACCTGGGCCCGGGATGTATACGTAATACAGAGACATTATACGCCCCTACCTAGGCACACCAATCAGGTGGTAAAAATGAACAGAACTTTTGACATTTACAACCTATTTACCATGTGGCACTTCACATCTTGATTATGTTATACACAACATTTGAAATTTAGATTTAGATTTTCTCAAAATTAGTATTTACAATTCTGTCAGTAATGTAATATGAACACTCAATGTTCCTGTCTTTCTTATTTAACTGTCGATGTCTGTTTCAGGGAATGACCGCCCTACACTGGGCTTGCAGCAAAGGTCATTTAGACTCTGTCAAGCTTATCATTGAATATAATGCATTTCCTAATCATATGGAGTTCACAGAAGATAGGTAAGTTTTGAACATATCATTACGTCTGAAAAAATTATCTTCAAGATACATGATGAACCATCCTAATCCAACTCTCATTTTTACCTCCTTTTCAAAAGAGTTCCAATGTAAAACAGAAACTTGTAAAACATCTTTTTAGATGGTACTTTATAGGTAAAATTTATATGTAAAGATCTACAAAATTTTAATGAGTCATTCAAAAATTGAAGACACATTTGAAAGGTACCCAAATAGAGATGGTACTATGTTTGTAAGGTAATGCATAACTATTGATGGCATGGCTGCAAACTGTGAATAATTTCATTGTGTTTTTAAAGTATAATAATTAAATTGTTCTTTCATGGCAGGGAATTCAAACTTAGAATTCATCCTATGTAAATCAACAAATACATACCCTACTTTACTATGATCAGGAAGATTGAATTATCCCTGACCCCTACAGTCTTGCTGGTTTTCAGAAACAGATAAAAAAAACCCACTGAAAACCAAAATTAAACATTTATGTAATTGCAATTATTGTACAATGTATATGAAACTTTCTACAATGTCAGTGATCAGGTTTAATAAGAAGAAATGTTTTCTACATTCAGATTTAAGAAGAAGAAAACAGATTCAACATTCTGCCAAGAAGATTAGCCTTAAAATACCAGTAGTAAAATCGATTTTTTCATGTTTCAAAATTGAAAATTGTTCTACCTGGCAATTTTTCTTCACAGGTATACACCTTTAGATTATGCGTTGATGGGTGAGCATCATGATGTAGCTCAGTATATGATAGAGCTAGGGGCCCTGTCCATCACAGGAATACAGGAGATCGCGGCTGTGAAAATACAGGTATGGACATGCAAAGCACAGTTAAAATAATTTAAAAAGTTAAATGAGATACAGTTGTCCTCTGGTTTACCCCCCCCCCCCCCTTCCCTCCCTCCCCCTCCCCTACATCCTCAATTTTATCACCCAACCAGCATACCACCTTGATTTTTCTAGAAATATTTGTAACCTTCTTTATAAGTATATGTACAAAAAAAGTTGAGGTATTTACAAAATACAGGTATAATTGTTTAAACAATGAGATATAGGTGACATGATGTGAAGACAACACATCATAAGAAATATATGGTATTGTTATTAATTGATTATGCATCTACTGTTTTGCTTGATACAGATGCAAGTTTAAAATTTTTCAACTGAAATATAAATAATATTTAGACATTACTGGTATGTGAATAGAATATAGAATACATTATTATAGATTCTGCTATCTTAACTGTTCAAAAAAGTTCAGTATCGGAAAGTGGAAGAATTATATTAGGAACATAGCTGGATCATTTCTGTCTGGCATGAGGAATAAAACAGAACTACTATGTCTTAAAAGAAAACCACAGTCAGGAATCACTGTCCGTGATCGTGGGTGGAATAATACAGGGAGATTTTGGAGTCACATTAAAGGTTTACCTGTTGGAGTTCATTTTTATTTAGACACTTTTTAAAATTTATTCATTGAAAACTTACTTATTGCGATGTTTAAGTTTTTGAAATGGAAAAAATTCTTTATTGGTAAGTAAGTTGTTGATGGATTAAGTTGATGAATAATCATGCAAGTTCACCCAGGTTTGTAATTTTAAAGAGTTGGTGTATCCAATATCATCAGCTCTTTTCCATACAAGCTGTCATAATGATTGATATCAAATGAATTTCCCCTGCTGAGAGGTATTACAGAGGAATCTATATCTTAAGCATTAAACATTAAAGATCAAAGAGTTTAAGTCACAGCTAAAGGGTCGTTAGTCACAGTATGAGGGATGACAGCCATACTGCATGATAATTATGTTGTGATTTTTTATTTTTAACAATGATAATTAACACATTTAAGATATCTAAGCTGAGAGTTTATATCAAAATTATCTAGCAGTTTGTCCTGTTACTTAATAACCCCGCCCATATTTATTACTGTTTTAGTAAACTGTGTTACTGTATTCATTGTCCTGTAATAAGCCCACCCCTTACCAGCCATGTGCTGGCCAGCTGTACCTATTTCAGGATGCATATGTTCTTAGGTTATCTGAAGAGTCAGCATGACTTATAACCATTGTGTGTCGTGTTTTGTCCGTTGTCGTGCGCCAAGCAAAGCCAAGCAAAGTGCATTAACTTTCCAATCAAATGACTTCTTCTCAACTATCAAAGCCTGACCCAGGATACTGATATTGGGCTTTTAGCATGATGGAGATAAAGGGCTACAATGTTCCTTCTAATGAGTTTCCTTGACCCACTTTCAAGGTCACAGGGGTGAAATGTGTTCAAATCTTTAAACTACTTTTACTCAACAACCAAAAGGCCAAGGATACTGATATTGGGGTTTTAGCATGCTGAGATGAAGGGCTACCAAGTTTGTTCAAATGAATGACCTTCATCCACTTTCAAGGTCATATGTAAAACTTTTTATAATAGGTCAAAGGTATTGTTTTTGGTTCTTTAACATAAAGGATAAAGGGCTAGCATGTTTGTTCAAATAATTTACCTTGACTCACTTTCAAGGTCACTAGGTCAAATGTGATGTGAACTTGAAATTTGTTTTTTCAACAAGAATTAGGATTTGGATCATAGTATTGGTGTAGTAGCATGTTTTAGGGATAGGATTTCAAGTTTACAAATACTGACTCACAAACTTTTCTGTGTAAACTGTTTAACAGGTGCCAATTCAGGCCCATTCGGCCTCTATCATGTATATATGTCTTTTTAGTCAGATGACCGTTCAGGCCCTTTTGGCCTTTTGATTAGAATTGATGAAGTATCTATCTTACACTTGACAAATCAACAAAATATGAATACATGTCTTTTCATTGACATTAAAATGATGATTACTTCCGCTTGCTGAGTAATGGACTTCAGTGTAACTGTCCAAGGATGTAATAGGATTAGTGTTAACTCTACAGACACATCTGTAAAGAAGTGGAGCATATTGTGTTTCTTTAGGAAGACTTTCTCACTTCTTCAAAACGTCCACAATATATTGATGTGATTTTCTGCTTCTAAAATTCTAACAATTTGTCTTCCAAATATTGTAATGTTTAAGCTGGTTTTAGAGGGTGATCTTCTTAGGGTAACATTATTTGATGTTGTATGTTTATGATCTGAGTTTCTGTTTATCAACTTTCAATAAATATAATGCTTATAACATGTACAGCCAGTTTATTGAAATGTCATAGGTAGTTTGGTGCAAGTGTGGTTTATGTATGACTTATAGGATATGGTAAAATCCTTCAGGTGTGAGTGTTATGTTTATGTGTTATTTTTGGTTTGTTTATTTTGTTTTACTTTTTGTTTATTTTTTGTGTGTTTGTGTGTCTTGCAAAAACACTGTTTATTGTACTAGGAAATGACTGGTATTGTAATTGCATCTTAGTCAAGAAAATGCTTGTAATTCACTTTTTGGTTGGAAACATGAATGTGTAGGACTAAAAGTGTGTGTGTATATGTGTGTGCGAGTATTTCATAGCCTGGAATATGGGAAATTTGAATGATGTGTGTGTGTAAGTATGGGAGCCCTCCTGTGTGGGGACACATTTGTAATGTTATGTATATCTTGGTCAATCAAATGTTTGCAGTAAAAAAAAAAGTGTGGTTTAAAATTATTTAGATTTTTCTGATATAATTAACAGCGTTTTTTTTAGTTTTTTTTGTATTCTATTTGTTTAATCATTTTTCAATTTCCAAAACTTTCATGTGATTGTTTTTATTTTAGTCAACATTTCGTGGATATCGTATACGGAAAACGTTTACAGAGAATAAACGATTGTTGATGCTCCACGATCAGCTCCGTAAAGAAGCTGTACGGTAAGTGAATAATTGACCGAAATGGACATCAATATTTGATTGGTTAAAAAATAAAACAGCGCGGCCACCTAAGTGTTCCCTGGATACTCCTTCCATAGTTAGACACCTCAAACGGTTTTATCTGGGCCCACAAATGAGATTAGTACAAGTTTGTGTTAACTGTTTCACAAGGAACAGGAGGGTGGGGGATCTGTAGAGAGTTGTCTGTAGAGATAGATTCTTGGTTCCAAGGCCCCTTGTCTGATTCCTGAAGGTAAAAATATAAAATATAAACTTTAATTATTTTACAACAATTCCGAAACAAGTGTTCAGGTTATATAAATCACTCTTGTTTGCCCACATAGTACATGGGGGGTGGGGGGGGGGACTTATTGTGAGAGGAAACCAGAGTACCCAGGGGAAAACCCATGTGGTTGGGCAGATGACCCCTTACCTTTACACGTCCGTTATGGTAATTGAACTCCAGATGGCTATCACTGATTGTTCCTATAACATACTAACTCAGTGTGATATCTTATGCAGTATGTCTGTTTACAAAGTTACTATAAGTTATGTTCCAATATGTTTTTATCTATAGGAATATCAAAAAAACATTGCTCAATGGTTTTGATTCATAATTTGATAAACATATTGTATATAAGTTTTCATGATTGTTTGTTTTTAGCAAAAGAAAAAAACAAAATGGTTGTTATTTTTTGTAGGAAGCGTGCGTTTGAAGAAACAAGGAAACAGGAAGACATCAAACACAAACAGGAAGTAGAAGAAAGACAGCAGGAAATATACCTCACTCAGCCATTGGTCAGTTCTTCGTCTGAAAATGAAAACCTACAACCAGTCATGAAAGTGCCAAAAAAGTAAGTGGCTTTTTTTAAATTTAAGAATTTGTTAACAAATGCTTGTAAATCTGTTGTATTAAAAAGAAAAGAGGAAATATCTTGTGTATGAGTTATACAGCTTTTATTATTTGCTAAATAACTCATCTTACTGTAGGCGGTTTAAAGATTATTTTTGAATTTCAGACCACTTTCTGGTCAAAATGCAACAATGTCACAGTTGAGGTGACCAAAGCGATTGAAAATGTTACCTAGTTGATATAATGCAAAAGAATGGAAAATTTAAAGAGATAAAGAGACAAAAAATTGTAAAGGACCCTATTGGATTTTTGTAAACAGGTTAATATATTGTAAACAGTTACTGATTCATAATGTATCGTTGAGGAAGTTCTCTCCAAATGATTGCTCAGGATTGGAAGATTCATGATATAAAGGTTGATTTAGTTTGATATTAAGCTAAGTTTTGTTGTCTTATAACAGCAAGGACGAAGATGTAGATGATTGGTAAGGATTGTCAGATTTATCTCCCTTGGATCATACTCTCCTTCTTCTAGTCTGTGCTATCAGGGACACATTATACATCCCTCATGTCATTTGCTTGCAAGCTTGATTAAAACAACAGCATCAAAAGTTTTAGGTATTGCTATAAGCTAGACAAAGCCAGTCAGGATATATACAGCCGTTTTTTTTTTTTTATATAAACTCCAAGTCAAGTGTTTTTCTTATCTGTACAATTTTGTCAGAATTTTTTTAAACGTAAAGAAATCAGTGATGACACATCATTTCAAATAAAAAAAATGATGAGAAAAGGAAAAAAAATATGTACATATATAATATATATATATATATAGGTCCTTTTTATTAAGTTGCTATCAATAGTAATACCATTACTATGTTCTAATTTCACATTTGTTATATCAGCCTATTTTTCAAACAATAATTAGATATAGCAACTTTTAGGAATTCTCTTTCATCGATATTTGAAATAAATACACTTTGCAACTAACATTGATTTAAATTTTTCATCCATTTTACCTTATCAATTATTCTCAAGTCTAAAGCATTTTTCGTAATTTCACTTTTTGTCTCAAATGATGCAAGGAATTATTTGTGACCTTCAAGATGTTTGCACTGACACCCTCTAAAGCTATTTGGTGAATACACTTATCTTGAAAGCAGAACAAGATCACATGATGTGTATGTGAATGTGCTGAAATTCATTGAGAGAAAGATACTTTGTCAATACCCATCATGGCATGTCTACATGATTGAAAGTCTTTTTTCAATTACATTGTACTTATATGTGTTAGAAAGTGTTAATAAGGGAGAGAACTCATTATATCCTGCTTACAGGAATAATTAATATAATTATATTACATGTACAATTATATCATCATATCTGACCGTTCACTTATATAATTACATATAAAGTTATGTTAACAGCCATAGTTGGAGAGTGACAACTGCTTTATACATATCAGGTTATGTAAACAACCATAGTTGGAGAGTGACAACTGCTGTACATTTATCATTTAATGTTTGGTAAAAGTGAAGTAGAAACCTTGAAAAGTCCTTGAATTTATAAAAATAAATGCAGCAGCTATTCCTGAAATTTTAAAGACATATTCACGTTACACAATTACTTTGTATTTCCAGCAGTACTGATGATCTCAGTTTAATCTCAGAATGTAGTGATGGGTAAGGATTTCCACAGATGTCTCCCCTTTTATACCCATCACTGTTGTTTGCATGTGATTATCTCCCTTTGTATTACATATCTGTATACTTAATATGCTTCTATTCACTCATAGCTTTAAATGTTCTTGCTTTCATTATTTTTTCCACAATGTCAGTTGAATATTTGTCCACAAACCAATGTCTCAGAATGTATCCCTTTGTGCAATTCTTCTTTTATGGCATGCCACAGGGGATAATGTGGAGATTATCTCCCCTTTTATTCCACTGTTTGTTGCATTACTATGGAAAACTTTATGTTATTACCTGTGTGTTGTAATATTTCAACAAATTCTATGTAATACCTTTCATTAATATAACACTGTGATATATATAAATATATGTACCTTTTAATTGAAAATTCAGCATTATGCATGATGACCAGGAAACCTAGGATCATGTCAAAGTTGTCTCCCTTTTCATTAAGGGGAAATGATCAACATGTCAACATATATTGGAGGTCTTGCTGTTGATTATAAGGATCTAATCTAAATACTTTTTTATTTCAAATATATTTCCCCTAATTTTCATATATAATTTATTTGTATTTTTGAGAAAAACATCCTACATCTTCATTGTCTGTTTTCTTCAGTGTCTGATCACATTCACTAACAAAACAAATTATAAAAAAGAACTGTTTTTAATATCATAATACGTAAAAAAGTGTCACAGTACTAATTCACTTCTTGAATTTACCTTATTTTATCAGTATAATATTCTGTATTTTTACATGTCTAATTGTCTTTAATCTGATTTATACTTTAAAAATTTGAGCTGTATCAGTCCTTTTTGATTCAGAGTATTTTATTTTTTAAACGAATTAACATACAAACTGTATACCAATATCAAAAAGGTAGGGCATGAAATTGATTCAATGGAAAAAAACTTAGAGAGAGTGAGAGAGAGAGAGAAAGAAAATTAGGAGGTACACTTATTACATTAGGGGCGCATACTAGAACAATTATGGTGTGTTGCTGCAGAAATATTTTTAAGTGATATGGAGGTATTATGTAGTAAAGTAAATGTTCACAGCTCAGGTAGAGTAAAAAGATTAGCTGTATTAAAGGTGTAAAGCTGATTAGTATTGCAGACCTTTGCACATGTTAAATAAATTTTCTTGTCCAGAAAATAAATATTTAATCAGCTGGAGTGACATTTCATATCAACATCACATGCAATGTGTCAAGGAAACTGTGTGCTTATTAACGGGTATGACATACATACCTACCATTTGTTTATTGCATAATTATAAAACGATATACAACTCCTTTAATTGGTCATAACAAATGTAGCTACGATGGATTGTATTTTAGGGTACCCTTATCTTTAAGCTATTAATCTCCCTCCCTCATTCATGGCTTAGAGGTGAGAGAAATACTGACCAAACCATGTAGTGTCTGTTAACGTGCTGTTGTGTCGTTAAAACACAGCTCTTAGTCAAACAGCCCCCTCCAAAAAAAGTGAAAGGATCCTTTGTTCTTTAAACCTGAGCAATCCATTGTAGTAATTAGGGTTGAAGGATCGTGTATGCCATTTAACGTAACTAGGATTGGAAACATGATTACAGTAATCTGTTTCGGTATACCTATTCAACATTGTACTTATATGTAGGGGTATTAGTTCTATTCAGGTCAGAAAGAAAATCTGTTCTTGTTCTGTAGAACATTGTAGTGTAACACAAGACATGTGATAGTCACAGGATCTGGTGACAATATTTACTATAAGGATATTCCTTAAGTAGTGTTTTCTGTTAGTTTATGGGATAATTGAGAACAATTTTTGAACATCAGAATTCAATTTATCTGAGTAGTAGTTTCTCCACTCAATGTAATAACAAAGGAATATGGAATTTATTGATTATAAATATCACTTATGGTAAAACGAAGTTTTAGATATCGTCATTTAAAATGGTGGTCAGCGGCTTGGACAGTTGTCATTGACCAGTGGTCAGACAGATTGTGATTTCTCTGTGTTATGGGATGTTTATTGTGAAAACCAGATTTTCTGAGGAATATTCAGTGAAAAATTCTTTGTGTCTTTAAGAATTTGGAAAGATTTCGAGTAAATAATATACCTCCTTGTTAACTTAACAAAGGATTAATTTCAAATGTCTTCTCTGAACAATATCTAAATAGAGAAAGAAATTTGACACTCTTTTTAATTAAAATATTGACAATTGAAGACAATCATTTCAAAAAAATTGCGCTGTACTATTGGGACCAAGAAATTGATGAATCTATGTACATTTAATGTAAACCTAAAAGAATACAAAAGCAATGATGAGGCTATTGTAGTACGGTAAATAGACAGAATTCTAGTGATACCAATGTTGATTTAGGCTTTATTAGAAAATACTGCTTTTCATTATATATATATATCTGGGTCAACCCCTACTTTTGGAGTGAGCCTCATTGAATGATCAACAGTGATTTGGTGAGTTCAGCTGAAATACAAACAAAATTGGAAACCAAATTAAGAACTGAGAAGACGGTGTGAAAATTAACACTGGTGATCACGATTGTTTGACCTGTGTTAAATTGACATCAGGAACCTGAAGACTCAAGTTCACTTTTTTCCTCGTCATAGATTTGGATATTTGGAGAATGTTGAGTTAATCAACATATTTAATTAGTTGTGATTATTTCAAGAAGTCAGGAATATCAATCAACATGCCGCATGAAAATGTCGCGATTCCAAAACCATCCACGAAAATTTGGGATAAACATCGAGCTAAGCTTTTTGTACTAAAAACGGTGGTGAATGATTCTGTTCAACATACAGAACAGTTTAAGTTTATGTAAGTATAAATAATATCAATTTGAAATATCAAAAAAAAAAATTGTTGGATATGTATATTTGTTTGGTATGTATATTATCAATTTGTATATTAGTAATCATAACATGTGATACATTTTTGAAACTTGTAAATCTGGTCTCTGTAGAAAAAGTTGAAACTTTTGAATATGCTGAGTGGTAAATAGATAAGTCAGTGATAAGGCTGTTTAGTATGAACGGAATCTTATCAAGTGATAGAGGAGTGATAGAAATCCATGTGTTGAACTGATTGAGTAACAAAACCTGAAAGTCATATAACATCGTCAGACTAATGTATAAAAATAATTAAGAAAAGAGTTCCCCTGAAGTGATAAATAGACTTTTCATTTCAGTAATAATTACCTTAACTTTAGTATGAAAATACAGTACCTTATTAAACATGCTATTCAGTGATTAGATTTTAGCCTGGTTTTCAGTCAGAATATTTGTTCAAGGCTATTAATCAACTCATTCAGCATATGTTTGATAATGAGTTCACTCCCCAATATTTGGTATTAAGACCACTCTCCAATGTTTTGTTATAAGATTATTCCCCAATGTTTGGTAATAAGACCATTCCCCAATGTTTGGTAATAAGTCCACTCCCAAATGTTTGGTAACAAGTCCACTCCACAATGTTTGGTAATAAGTCAAATCCCCAATGTTTGGTAATAAGACCACTCCCCAATGTTTGGTAATAAGTCAAATCCTCAATGTTTGGTAATAAGACCACTCCCCAATGTTTGGTAATAAGACCACTCCCCAATGTTTGGTAATAAGTCAAATCCTCAATGTTTGGTAACAAGTCCACTCCACAATGTTTGGTAATAAGTCCACTCCCCAATGTTTGGTAATAAGTCAAATCCTCAATGTTTGGTAACAAGTCCACTCCACAATGTTTGGTAATAAGACCATTCCCAATGTTTGGTAATAAGTCCACTTCTTAATGTTTGGTAATAAGTCAAATCCCCAATGTTTGGTAATAAGACCACTCCCCAATGTTTGGTAATAAGTCAAATCCTCAATGTTTGGTAATAAGACCACTCCCCAATGTTTGGTAATAAGACCACTCCCCAATGTTTGGTAATAAGTCAAATCCTCAATGTTTGGTAACAAGTCCACTCCACAATGTTTGGTAATACGTCCACTCCACAATGTTTGGTAATAAGTCCACTCCACAATGTTTGGTAATAAGTCCACTCCCCAATGTTTGGTAATAAGTCCACTCCCCAATGTTTGGAAATAAGACCACTCCACAATGTTTGGTAATAAGTCCACTCCCAAATGTTTGGTAATAAGTCAAATCCTCAATGTTTGGTAACAAGTCCACTCCACAATGTTTGGTAATAAGTCAAATCCCCAATGTTTGGTAATAAGACCACTCCCCAATATTTGGTAACAAGTCCACTCCACAATGTTTGGTAATAAGTCAAATCCCCAATGTTTGGTAATAAGACCACTCCCCAATGTTTGGTAATAAGACCACTCCCAAATGTTTGGTAATAAGTCCACTCCCAAATGTTTGGTAATAAGACCACTCCCCAATGTTTGGTAATAAGACCACTCCCAAATGTTTGGTAATAAGACCACTCCCCAATGTTTGGTAATAAGACCACTCCCAAATGTTTGGTAATAAGACCACTCCCCAATGTCTGGTAATAAGTCAAATCCCCAATGTTTGGTAATAAGACCACTCCCCAATGTTTGGTAATAAGACCACTCCCCAATGTTTGGTAATAAGACCACTCCCCAATGTTTGGTAATAAGACCACTCCACAATGTTTGGTAGTAAGACCACTCCCCAATGTTTGGTAATAAGACCACTCCCCAATGTTTGGTAATAAGACCACTCCCCAATGTTTGGTAATAAGACCACTCCCCAATGTTTGGTAATAAGTCCTCTTCTTAATGTTTGGTTATAAGCCCAAATTTTTGGTAATAAGCCCAGCTTCACTGTTATATAATAATCAGAAATACAAATGTTCTATGTAAATGCTTTAATAGGGACAAAGAATTATAAAAAATGTCTCCCTTAAAAATAATAATAAATCATTCAAGATGGAATAGACTGTCAGTGATATAAGATCATGTCTCTTGTACCATTGTTTTCTTTGGTTACAATCTATTTGCCATTCTGCAAAGCTTAACTTTTCTATAATTCAAAATTGAGTTTTTTCAATATATACACATTGTCTCATTCAATTTCAACACTGCTTTATTCAAGTGATTTAAATCCTTTGAAAGATTTTTAAACTTTTAAAACAGGTTTTAGACAGTTGGTGTCATATGCCCTGTAGATGTGAGACTTATTGTCTAACTTACAAAACGTAACTTGAGATTTATTGTAAATGTTCATACAGAAAGAAATTGATAGAAACCTCACATAAAGATATACTATCTTGGAACCACTTACTTTTAGTATTTAAAAATTGTTGAAAATTATTTCTTTAAATCTTATTGTTTTGATTTCTAAACTAATTCTTTTATATTGTATTTTGATAGAAATGTTCAAGTGGTTCATACCCCAAATTTCAGTTCGAAAGGAAATTTGAACTGCCCATAATTGCTACATTTCAATAATATTTCAGTTATAGTGTTTCACTATGTATGAAAAGTAGAGACAATTTATTTGAAAATACAGTTTGAATCTTGCATTTACCTGACACACAGTAATGAGTAAGCATGTAAAAGCATGCAATTAACCTCAGGTTATCAAAAGGCCTGGTACATAGAAAGTGCGGGCACTGAAATTAATTTGAAATGTTATTGTGCATTTTTTTTATCAAAAGATGATATATAATATTCAAGTTTGAGTTCAGATATTAAACTTATGTTTGATATTTAATATTGTAATTACTTTTTATAAACTCAATGTTTTCAGCTGAGCCAATGTACATCCAATTTTTTTACTTCTATTTTAGAATTGTTCTGCGTTTAATGAGTCATGCATCACTACTACAAAAGATTGAATATCTATACGTCTATTTGGTTTCTCAAATATTTAAACAGTATTTTTCACCGTGTATCAAATTTCTGAACAAGCTAATAACAACTACATAATGAAACTAAGTAAACGTTGTATCGTTAATCGTTTCCTGCAGTACCTATTTAGATAATTTGTTTCATTCGTATAATAATATTTGACCAGAACGATCAGGAATATGAATTTTCACAAAAGGTCTATACCCTTAAATATCAAAGATGTCGGACGTTTTAAAATGCCCAGGTACCTCAGTCGGATAATAACGGGAAATGTTTGTTCACATGAAGGTGTCAGTAACATGTACCTGTGTTTTGTGATGAAGCAAGTTCTGTTTCTGGTCATTCCATTTGGTTGATCAGGAACAATACTTGTTTGTTCTATGTAGGGGTATGGCCCTCTCTCCTAGCTTGTCTTATATATATATGTAGTGTACTTACTGTAACAGGCCCCATATTACAGGACTTAGTGTTGTTGAGATTGCTTGGCTACAAACTCTCTAATGTTGATGTATCAGGCGGAAAATATTCTGATGAAGAAATTTGTTTAGTGAATCATTTTCTTGGATTTATGTTCAAATTCTTAGAGAGAATTTCTAAAACTCTAACATTCTTACAAGGATTAATAATATAATTGTTGTATTCGGAATTTTAATCATTCAACAAAAAGAAAAACAAATTGTGTACTTCATACCAGGATGTATTACTGCTTTCTTTAAACAATGGCAGGACTGTATACACCATTTTGTTTTTTCGAAAAAGGATTTTGTAAAAGAGTGACAATTTCAAACTCTTCTACTCTGTAAATATTTAAGAAGAAAACTCTATATTTTCTATTGATTTGTGTTTGAGGACAAATTATTGGCATCCGTAGGCAGTGTTAGACTTTTTATTTTCATTTACCTAAAATGCCTCATTTCTTTGGATCGCTGTCTGCTTCCATTCAGGGAATTATTCGAAATTCTAAACTTTCCAGGAAAAAAGAAAAAGAATACACAGAACTTGCAGATCTTCTGAAACAGAGGCAGTGCCAACAAAAATTGATCTCAAATGAAAAACAACGCCAGAACACATTTAAAGAAAAACAATGGGCGGCATTGAAGATACAGCGGGCATGGAAAAAGTAAGTATACAAAATTTGTCATTTATCTTTGTTTAATCATATTTATCTTGTAATAATCCCAGGATGCTAACGCCTGAATTCTCACACAAAGTCACAGGGCGGGCTTATTAGCAGACATAAATATTATATGTTGTACTTTACATCTTTGTACTGTATTTCTTGTTTCTTTGAATTTCACGGTCGATACCAATGCTGTGAAAAAATAAGTGAAATGAGGTAGGGAGATATTGGATGATTTTGATGAGTTTGAAAAAGTTTTCATTCAGCCCACACTATGCTTAACAAAAGTGTTTTCTAACATATTAAACAGAAAAGCCATCATACAAGTTATTTATCAAGATATAGTGTTAAATGAACTCTCGTGACTGCACAATGCATGACAAGGCGCTTGATTCCAAATTTGTGACATTTAAATCAACTATGAATGCCATAACATTATAGTTTAACGTTGCCCGTTAATACTCTCTTACTGCAATCCTATTAAATACAAGCCATAATATACTGTTTGCCTAGAAAGAACTTTTGTTGAGCCCAGTTGATTGAGCCCATAACAAGTAAACCAGAGGTCCTGGGTTCGAACCCTACCAGAGCCATGGACATAAATAATGATTCTTATACTGGTGCCATGTAGGGACTTAGGAATAGGAATAATACAAAGCCATCCCACAAGCATTGCTGAAACTCCTGTTCTTTTCTGGAGAGAGAGTATGTAACCCTGGTAAATACTAGCCACAATATACTGCTTTGCCATAGAGATTTTCTCTTTACAGTTTGATCATTTGAGAATCAGATTACTAAGTCAGAGGTCCCTGGTTTGAGTCCTCGAAATAAATAATGACCTCTGTTACATTGGTGTCCATAGAAGGACTCAGACTCAAAAAAACATCACTGTTACCCCTAGAAACTTGACAAGTTCATTCCTGGAGAGGGGAGATTTGAAATTTAATTAAAATGACATTCTTGATTACCATAACTTAAGAGTCACCTTATCATAGACACACAATAAGTTCACTAAGACACATAATAATGGATATTAAGAGCCATGTTACAGGATGATGTGGCTTTCAAAATCAAGTCTCTTGGCACTTTACCTCTGACTAAACTGACAATTGGGTTATCTCCCTTTTGTCATAGTTTTGTTGAAACAGTACATTGAATGATAACAGATTCATGTTTAACCAAAATTGTATAATATCTCTTGATGTTTATATATAATAGGATGTTTATCCTGTAATAAGTCAGAAGGGAATGGGGAGGGGTGGAAGTTATGTTGTTGGGGCTACTCATCAGCTTCTAACTGAAATTTAGAGGGAGCTTTCGGCTTATTGAAGATGATGATAACAGTTGATGTCATAATTATCTGAATCTGCAAAAATTTGAGGAGCTAATTATTAACTAATTATTGGACATGGACTTGTTACCAGATAAATACTTTAAATTTTTATTTATAGTCAGACTTGATTAAATGATGATAATTTTGTATCAATATCAGTGTAGTTATTTCATTAATGGTAGCTATTATTGTTTATAGTGTATGAATATATTGAAAGTTTGAACACTTCAGAAAATATCTATAATTACACTACGTTTCGTTACCTGGGTTAAAACTGTTGTTTGTTAACAATTATAAACATATACACGTCTCCCCATTTTCACAGAGAAAATGGATAATCATACTTTGTTGCACTGATTTCATTTTAAATGTGCTTAAAATCATTAAATTGATGTTATGTGGATCAACTCACAAGTTTGTACCCAGCATAGCTTAGTTTAAATCTGTTTTTGATATCCCACTGGCTGTTTGTACAGGTAAAGTACAACGAGCTATTACACCATTCATGGCATTTTGCCAATGTTTCTTTTTGAAATTATAGCTCTGAAAGAAAATCTGAACTCATTTCACTAAGACTTTATAGGCTAAGGTTCCTTTGGTTTGAAGTTTAGAGACATGTACGGAATGTAGATATTTTTATCACTTAAAAAGTGAACATTAATTTTATTGGAGATTGATAAAACAACAACCTGCACACATAAAATATCCTCATAGCACTTCTGTATAAGAATAATTCAGACAATTATATTTTAATGTTTAAGGTAAAATGGATTCTTCTAGATATATCTTTATGTGATTATAAGTGTAATTACCTCTCACTCTGTTTTGTTAGAGTTATCTCCCTTTCAGACATACTGTATAAAATCTACCAGCAGATTAATTTTATGAAATTTGATACAAGTTATAAGAAACCCACCAGTGATATATATGGCTGTAAAAGCTCACGTGCCACTAAACAAACAAAAATATACACCTGTAAAATATTCAGAATGCAGGTAATTGGTGTACTACCTGTAACTTGCTTTTGACTCATGTCTGTTTGATGGCCCACACCTACAATGACACTGTACCATTGATAAATGGCAGTCACCAGACTTCAGCTGGCATGGCGTGATCATGTTAATAAATAAATGAGACAATTTCTTTTTGTCCTAACGTTGATCTGTCTGGAGCCTGGTATCCATGATTATCTAACATAAAAACACATGCTTGTAGCTCAATTATATTTATTTTGATTTCAGTAGCAATGCTTACATATGTATATAATAGAACTGCATTAAGCTCATCCCTTGACTTTGAGCCATTAAGAGTTCAGGTGTTGGCCCTCTAGGCTTATTGTCTTGTAATAAGCCCGTCCCGAGACTTTGAGTCCTGAGTCAAACCACACATAGAGGTATACAGGAAGTTATACAAACGGAGTCAAACCACACATAGAGGTATACAGGAAGTTATACAAACTGAGTCAAACCATACATAGAGGTATACAGGAAGTTATACAAACTGAGTCAAACCATACATAGAGGTATACAGGAAGTTATACAAACTGAGTCAAACCATACATAGAGGTATACAGGAAGTTATACAAACTGAGTCAAACCATACATAGAAGTATACAGGAAGTTATACAAATTGAGTCAAACCATACATAGAGGTATACAGGAAGTTATACAAACTGAGTCAAACCATACATAGAAGTATACAGGAAGTTATACAAACTGAGTCAAACCACGCATAGAGGTATACAGGAAGTTATACAAACGGAGTCAAACCACACATAGAGGTATACAGGAAGTTATACAAACTGAGTCAAACCACACATAGAGGTATACAGGAAGTTATACAAACTGAGTCAAACCACACATAGAGGTATACAGGAAGTTATACAAACTGAGTCAAACCATACATAGAGGTATACAGGAAGTTATACAAACTGAGTCAAACCATACATAGAGGTATACAGGAAGTTATACAAACTGAGTCAAACCATACATAGAGGTATACAGGAAGTTATACAAACTGAGTCAAACCATACATAGAGGTATACAGGAAGTTATACAAACTGAGTCAAACCATACATAGAAGTATACAGGAAGTTATACAAATTGAGTCAAACCATACATAGAGGTTTACAGGAAGTTATACAAACGGAGTCAAACCATACATAGAGGTTTACAGGAAGTTATACAAACTGAGTCAAACCATACATAGAAGTATACAGGAAGTTATACAAACTGAGTCAAACCATACATAGAGGTATACAGGAAGTTATACAAACTGAGTCAAACCACACATAGAGGTATACAGGAAGTTATATTTTGAACTTTGCAGACGAACCTAGAACCCCTGATGTAAAATCTGTTTTGGGTTGACCTTATGATATGACGATAATGTAGCATTTGTTTGTGTTCTGAAACTGAAGTAGATTCGGATGGGCTTATCAGGGAGTATGGGCTTATTGCAGGATAAACATGTTCCTATAACAACAGTGTATCAGAATATAAAATAATAGAACTGCATTTGAACCCAGGAACACCTGACAAAACCGTAACCAACTGATGGTATTCAAACAAATTCTGTTGTTCAAGTCACTTGGTTTATATTTTATTTGGTTTTAAACAAGTTGAGTAAAGAGAAAAAAAGAATGATCTTGAGTCTGGAAAACTCAAAAGGAGTTGAAGGCATTCTGTTAGGTTAATCAATATATATGGACCAGCTTTCCAGGTTAAACAAAGTGGGCGTCTTACCTATATAGCCATAACATATCTGTGGGTTGTACCTACACCCAATACACATACTGTGAATTAAATTAATCAGGTGTGAAACACACATTGGTTCATTGTAATCCAAAGTGTTGAGGCCACCCACAGGGTAATTATATATATATTTGGAAATATTTCTGAAAAGTATTGTTTTTTAAAGGTACTGTTATACAAACATACAAGCAAACAAAGTAGGAAAGTGTGGAATCTTTATGATAATTTCATCCAACAAAAACCACACAATCCTAATGACTTTGGGATTGCCAGCTTGAAAATAAAAATGTAATGTATATTGTAATGTCTGTTGAAAATCAGGATTGTTTTGTTTAGGCTCCTCAAGGGAAAATATTTTAACAAGATTTAATCAATCATATCAACTTGTAGTACCTCATCATAACATTTCAAAATTATAATTTAAATTCACTATTTTGAATTCAATTGAATATCCTTTTCTTGTTTCTAATGATGTTAAACTGTCAGTATGGTTATGCAGAGTTACCCTCTCTTTGTTCTCTCTCTCTCTCTCTCTCTCTTTAGATCCACAATATGATGATTTAATTACCAACCACTTGACAATTACACCTCTAGGTGACAAAAATCTTTAATTTTGATCTTCACAAAAAAAATAAGATAGAACAAAATATCCTACAACCATGTCCTGTCAGATCATATGTTCTAGAAGTTCAGTTCACAGATTTAGATAAAAGTAAAGTAAACTATTTGGAAACTTCCAATACTGAGAGGATATAGTCAACCCTTTGTCCATCCATCTGTCTGTTTATTTGTCCATTTGTCTGTCCGTCCATCATAATTTTGTCAGAGCATATCACAAAAACTATAAGCAGTTTCAACATGAAACTTTATATGTAGATAAATAAGGAGAAATGCATTATGCAAGAACCATAACTCTCTTTTGCATAATTTAGGAGTCATTGAAACTTGTTGTATACATTGGTCATACTAAGAAATCTACAGCATAACAAATTCAGGGGCTGCAACTTCTTAATTACGGAATTATTGCCCTTGATTAAATTTTGTGTCTAATAAAGTGGAGCATTTATCAGTTTCTCTGATACTCTTGTTTGATATATTTGCAAAAGTTTACTTTCAGCACATAAAATTTAAGATTCAGGAATTGTTCAAATAGAAAACAATCAATAGATAAAAACCTTAAAATAGAATTCAATTGTACCTGTTCATTGTATTTGTAGTACTTGTATAATAATACCCACTTGTTGAAGATATAAATAGTCAGTTCACCTTTCTTTTGTCAATATAGTCATACCCTACTTGAGAACATTTACACACACACATAGAATCTCTCACAAAAGGTTTGATTCTAAATATTATGAACATGTTAGGAAACGATGAAAGGAATAAGTTTGACATACAAGAGTATCCAAGGTTGTTGGAAAGTTAAATGTCTACCATACAGATTACTGTATCTTTCTGTAAGTTTTGATAGTTCCATAATCGAAAGTGCTTCCTTTCAATAAGCCTCAGAGTTGTCAAATATGATTTTATGTTATTGATATTTCTATAAAAAACAAATTGTGTTTTTCAATAGATACTTCACAATATTGCATATATTCGTAATGCCTTTTAAAACATTTTATAAAAAAATAGTATTTTTAAACTTTCAAAATTTTTGAATATTTATCATTAAATACCTTTGAATAGGGTAAGGTAGATCCTTTTGTATAATTTACATTGGTATGAAACTGATCACCATTATATCGAAATCGAAGATCACAGCTGGTCTAGACATATAATCCTAATATCCCTTATCGGCCTGAAGTTATGAAGGTTGTACATGGCACATGACAGCGGTGCCAGGAGAAAGCCGGGTAAGATAATATTGATTTTAAAGGGATTATTATTAAAATATCACAACTATAAATCAAGGGTAGGGAATTTCAAGAGTTATAACGATTCAGATGTTTGTTTGGACAACTTTGTGGCAAGCAGTATGTGAAGGTAATTAATTTGTTGCCATGGTAAAAAAAGAATTTTTTTTTGTTCAAGTTTTTTAAAAATGATGATTAGTGAGTTTAAATTCCTGTTAAAGTATTAGAATGTATAATTGTTTAGATGTTATCGCATGTGGACAGATCTATCATACTTTTAATGTAGACTGTTGTGTACTAGTAGTAATCATTTCACTGTACGTCAACACACATTTTTTCATAATGACAGGCTTTTGACATTGTTAATTTTGACCTCGATCAATTCTTGTATAGCAGGAACACACATTTAGTTATAATAAGACAGTTATTTAACTGTTAAAATACAACATGGATACGTCTTTGTTTTGAGACAAAAGACACAGTTGAATTGTTCAGCGCACCCGAGACGTTATCAGACCAAAAGAGCTGTACTCTACATAGTGTGTTACAAACTGGAGGCTACAGATTTCCGATATACTGGCACCATGTGAAACAAATTTCCAGATTTGATCGGATATTTACACAATTATTCTTTGGAATTTTACCTATTTTTTGTGTGGAGAGATAAAAGTGTCAAGATTGGGAGAACGATTATTAACGTTGATCTACCCAGGGTCCAGTATGGCTCCCCGGATAGGTTGGTATATCAAAAATGTCTGTCATGTGTTCGAAGATTTTTCGTGTTTTGAATCATTCATCTTAGAATGTGTAATTTTTTTGTCTTGAAAGTTACTTTTAGGTTTCAAATTCTTTTTCTTGAAAGTTGTTTTTTTCAGAGATGTTTGTGTACTTTACAGATTGGGTATGGTGATATAGGCCTAGCTCTATGTACAAGCCATGTCAACCATATTTTATATGGTCACCGACTCGGATCAGTTTTCCTAAAATTTCAGTATTTTTGAAAAATAATTCAAATTTTTAAGTACAAATTTTTAAAAGTGTTTTTTTTTATTGTAAGTTTCTCTGATATAAATTATAATCAATTCTTTATATAAAACTGAGGAACGTGTGTTTGTTATTTGAGACCCGGTGAAACCATATAGAATTGATCTGTATCATTTACTTATTTTAAATTATTATGTCACAGAAATCAGCTGTACTAATCAATGAAATTTCTTTGAAATTAGATTTTAAGGAATGTTGATGTGAAGTTAGTTTTTGTTTAGTGTAAACGGCTGGTAACTTTTATTCTAGCCTAGTATATGTATGGCTTGTTTCTGGTTGAATAGGCCAGGCGTTGAGTTGGTATACCCTTGACACACTGTATAACAGACTTGGTGACAACCTAGTCATATGTAAACATACCAATGTTCCGAATTCTATAAATTTGAAATTGGATTCTTTGAAACTTAATAATATATAAACTGTATCCTTATAAACTTGATTATATAATGATTTTTATTGATTTTTACCTGTGTTTATTGATATTACTAAATAAGGATTTGTTTGTTCCGGAGTAAGAATTATAATTTGTTTGCCTCTATTGTAAACATTATTGGGTAAATATTGATTAAGTAAACAGTTTTTTGTTTCAGTAGACCAGTTAAAGACCACTTTTATAACAAATGTTTCTAATCACTCTGATGTGAATTTATAATTTTGAGCTATTGAAAAAAGAAACATCCTTTATGCACATGTGACTGTATAGTGTTCAGATATTTTGTAGTGACACTGCTACAAATTGTTTCATATAATTTTGATGTTAAAAACAAAAAGATTTTTAGTTGCTTTTGTTGTGAGAGTGTTAAACACACTTGACAATTACAAGCATTGGATATAAGGCTGTGCTGTAAACAAACCTGACAAATGCTATTATGAATGAAAGTTCTGTCTTGTGACAAGGTGTTGGGATTACACAAGTTTATGAATTAATCATTTGATAGTTACACCATAGAACATTAACAAAGCTTTCATTCTTAACATTAAGTTATAGTAAAACATCATGATGAAGTAATTTGTGTTAAACAACACCAATATACACTGCTTTAAACTGACAGTAACTTCTAATACCAAAAACTTCCGGTGTGTTTATAAACTGCATCACATGGTACTGTATGTTTATCACACTGTAAAAACTATATAGGGGCAAACTCATTATTTCTGACTCAAAGTCAGTGGCTGGCCTATTACAGAACCCCTAGGGACCAACATATTACATTGTGCTCAAAGTCAGAGGAGGTTGTAATACATGTACAGGATAATAAGCCCAGTTGGTCAATATATTACTTCTTACTCAAAGTTATGAGATCAGCTTTAATGGTTTCACAATGATATTAAATGGACGGGCTTATTACCACACATGAGCTTATTGTCAGCTGACACAATCGTACATTATGATATAGTGATTAAGATATTTCTACAATTTGATGGGAAGTTTACCTCAAATGAAAACAGTCACATAAAATATGTTAATGCTAGTTGAATAGATTTTAGATACAAATACTAGAGGTAAAGATGTCTAGTCTTATAGGCATTTTCTGTAGTGTCTGAAAAAGTAGTAGATCAGGGTACACTTATAACTTTGTATGGGCTGATAGCTGGATAAGTATGGTAAACACTTTCCTATAAGCTGATAGCTGGAGAAGTATGGTAAACACTTTCCTATAGGCTGATAGCTGGAGAAGTATGGTAAACACTTTCCTATAGGCTGATAGCTGGAGAAGTATGGTAAACACTTTCCTATAGGCTGATAGCTGGAGAAGTATGGTAAACACTTTCCTATAGGCTGATAGCTGGAGAAGTATGGTAAACACTTTCCTATAGGCTGATAGCTGGAGAAGTATGGTAAACATTTTCCTATAGGTTGATAGCTGGAGAAGTATGGTAAACACTTTCCTATAGGCTGATAGCTGGAGAAGTATGGTAAACACTTTCCTATAGGCTGATAGCTGGAGAAGTATGGTAAACATTTTCCTATAGGTTGATAGCTGGAGAAGTATGGTAAACACTTTCCTATAGGCTGATAGCTGGAGAAGTATGGTAAACACTTTCCGGCAGAAGTTTTCCTTCTAAATTACACCCTGTGATTGACTGACAGGTTTTCCAGCTCCTCCTGTGTCCGTGTATCATCTCATCGATGTACATTAGCGTTCTGGTAAAATGTCCTTGTAATATGTTTTACTTGATTATAAGATTGTGATTTGAATCATAACATACTCCAAAGGGGAAGTGACTCTTAGGAAAAGATATTCCTTGTTTATACGCTGTTCCCTTATGAACAAAATGTCACTCAATATTGTTTTGTATATTTTTTTAGTTACAAGATGCGGCAGGTTGGGATCATGAAGGTCGCCAAACAGTCCATCCGGACGATCCGTCTCCGTGCAGGGGAAGAGGAGTTTGAGCGACAGATTGCCGCACTTACGATCCAGTTGGCATGGCGTAAATACTTCAGGTTAGTAAAATCTCTTAACAATGATTGGCTGATATTTTCATCTGTTCAGATAAGTGGTTGAATTCATCTACTATAAAATTTGCCAATAACCATCAATTACCTATAAACAGGAGGTTATACTTGTCAAATCACATGATCTTACATAACAGAGATACAAAACTTTAACTGTCTTAACAAATAAAATTATATTACCAGGTATCCTGAAAAGGACCTTTCTTTACATGTGATTCATTAATACTGAGTTATCATGCATTGTAGTGATCTAACTTATAGTTACCAGTGAAACAGGTGTCATTTTAAAATGAAGTTGAGCAAGTTACTTTTCTCAGTGGAAATTAATGTTGATAAAATATATGTGATCCATATGTTATTATTGTAGAAACCTGAATTGGCCAAAAAATATCTCGACTGGCCAGATTTGTTAGAAATTCCTTAAGTGAAAAATACTTTAAATAAAGAATAGTAATTAACATACATTCATGAACCTCCAAATATCTATAACTAATAAGAACATATGCAGAGTTATCTTTCTTTGTCAAGTTTCAGTATACTTTAAATATGGACACTAGCTTAGGGTTGTAGCCTATGAAAAGACTTTTTAATACAAATTAAGAGTAGGTACACAGGGTTATCCAAAAGAGCCGGTCGCCGGCCAATTTGACCGGCTACTTTGATCATTTGGCCACCTACACCAATCCAGTTCTGTAATAATGTTCCGTACACGACTACAGGTACACGGCAGGCCAGCCTCCTACTTTCACTACACAGCCTACTACTAACAAAATTATGGAAAACCCTGGGTACAGTAGAGTCAAACAATGAATTAAACAACATCATACAGCTGTCTTGTCCCTCAATGACTCATCAATGATGCTAAGTGCCTAAATTGTGAAACCTAGTTGGTGAAATAGGAAACTTCAAAGTGATCAAAAGAAAAGTCAAAATCTAGATGGGGAGGTGTACTCTCCATAGCTCAATAGGTTTCTTAAATTTTCATATATTAGAATCAGTTCTGAACAGATATAATACTATAACCAATATTTCATGTTGGAATACATCATAATAAACAGTTTTCTGTAATATAATTTATATATAGGAATATTCAGTACCAGGATAAAAATTCATAAGTAGGATCCACTGCAGTATATTTTAAGATATTTTTAATTCATTGGCTCATTTACAAAAACACTGCATCTAAAGACTATGGAAGAATTAATTGTGAATTGGATATTTGGATATACTGTATGTGCACCAGAAGGATTCAGATTAAGTTGTATTAAATTCTTTAAGGCCATACCTACATATATATATTTTAAAATTGGCCAAAGGGAGAAAACTCTTTCGTACATGTTTTATCTTTGACAATTGTTATGTGTATATCAATTGCTTTGTTCCTGGAAAATCTAGAAAGGAATTGAGATGAAGAGAGACAGAAGAAATTGATTTGATCGTCCATGACTTAGATAACATGTGGTCTACACAGTACTTACATTCATGTGTTCTGTCATTTCTTTATCTTTCTTTTCCAGTCTGTTGCTTCTAATATGTCTTTCTTACTCTTCTTCTAAAAGCAAATCTTGGAAATCTTCTTCCCCAAAAACTGATTCTTCAAACCACAATTCTTCTAAGGAAAGATTTGCAGTGTCGGCAGGGTAAACAATTTCTGATAATATGATTTCTGTTTACAGCACTTATCTGTTCATGTGAATGATACGTTCTTGTTTTTGTATCGAAAAAAAACCGCTTCTGTTTCATTTCTTTTTTTAAGGATTTCATTTAATTTTTACCAGGAAGCTTATAAATTGAAATCAACACCATTTGTCTATTTCTGCGTTCTGCCTACTTGCCTTTTGTTTCAACTTTACTTTCATTCTTTAGGAATTTTCTGTTTTTTTCTGAAGGTTTTTATACACAGCCAGATTTCACACCCATATTTTCATTGCCAATATTCTCTTCTTTTCATTTTATGTAGAAATTTACAATTCAGTTATTTTCATTTGCATGTCAATTGTAGCTTAAGATAAAAGGTGAAACTTTACTGTATTTTCCTGCAATAAGCCTAGACGGCCAACACACAAATTCTGATTCTTAAGTTAAGTGGTTTAGTGCAGGAAGATGAAACAGTGTTTTCAATTCCGCTGAAGAGCGATAAACACAGGCGTATTACCAGTCATGCTATGGTTTCTTTCAAAGACCTGCTTAGCAATTTGTCACCTGTCGGCCATTGTGGATTGGAATTATGCTAATCAATCAAGCAGATACATTTCAATTGTGTGTTTCATGGAGAAATTGATTAACGTACTGAAATTCAAAAGAAACATGTTTTTTCCATCATGAACCATATGGAAATCAATGCTGGAGTGCTGGGATCATAGAATTTTTAGGTGTGAGAAATGTATACATATATACTATCATTATTTTTATATTACCATCAGAATCTGCTTGTTCAATTCAAAATGGTGACAATGCAGAATTTCTAAAAGTCTTTATACCAAATGGAAACTGAACAAGCAATATCAGGTTTAGGATGGAAGAAGATTAAAAATTGGTGATAATTTTGGAAAATAATTTGTTGTGAATATTACTTATATAGAACTCAATTTGATAAGATATTTTTTTTACAGGTAAGCTGACAAATCTTTTTGAACATTTTGATCATTTTAATGTCCTATGGTAGCAGTAAACAGTTAATTTGCATTTTTCCTGAAATTATTTGTCATGTTTGAGATATACAGGTATAGCAGATTGGTTATGAAAAATACATCATTACATGTATATATATTTATAAACTGTGTAACAATTACATTAACAGTAGAGAGATGAAATTTGTGTAAAAAAAAAAATTCCTCTGATTTCTGACATTTGATTGTCATGGTTACCTACTGAAAAAATGCTAAAAATGCAAAAATACTGCTAATTCCAATCCAACACTACAACTTTCTAGGAGAAATTTAATTCTAAACACCTATCTTACAATCAACAACACTGTCGTGGTAACAAAGTACTTACATTTCAGCAAATTCCAACTCGGAAATTCTTCATAACATGACCACATGTAAACACTATGAAAATTTCACTTCCTGTAAAGCTAGTTTTTGGTGCGTAGACACAGATTCGAGACTGCCCAAATAGTAATCTCCAACACAAAGCTAAAATATTATCCTGAAAAAAATGAAACCCCACATTGTCCACTTTAACATGACAGGACCAATTTTAGCAAGGATTTTTTTTTTCATTTTTAATTAAAACCTTTATAATGGGGTAATCTAATGAGCAAAAAAATCACCCATGGCCACACCGAGAAACTGTGTACTGCTACCTTATACATCACAATTAGTTTTTTAATTTCATTAAAATCCCTCTGAGTGTCTAGAAAATGATCACACGAACAAAACAATATATCGCTTTACTGTGTATCTTGAATAGCTATCGAGTAATATGGATTTTCCCGCATGGTGTGTTTTGACCAATTCTGCTCTCAAATTAGGAAGAAAGGGAGGTAATTTGAAAAATTAAAACCTCAATAAGTCTTAAATTTACTTGAATAAAGTTGCAATTGAAACTGAATCAAGTAGTTTGTGCTTCTGTGAATTTAGATAACTGAAAAGCAGATTGATACTACATATATAAAGTCTTATGTTATGACGTCATGGTAACAGCTGATGTCATCAGTACTATGACGTCATCAATTGCTAATGATGGCTTCACCAATGCAATGTGATGTCATAGTGAAGGCTAGAACATCCAACAAAAACTTCAAATTAGCATCTGACACCTTTCTTGAAAGTAATTAACAGTGATATGACATTAGATATTCTTAAATGTCATGTGTATGACATCACAAACACCTATGCTTACTGCCCCCCAATATTTATAAACTGTATAACAATTACATTAACAGTAGAGAGATGAAATTTGTGTAAAAAAAAAATTCCTCTGATTTCTGACATTTGATTGTCATGGTTACCTACTGAAAAAATGCTAAAAATGCAAAAATACTGCTAATTCCAATCCAACACTACAACTTTCTAGGAGAAATTTAATTCTAATCACCTATCTTACAATCAACAACACTGTCGTGGTAACAAAGTACTTACATTTCAGCAAATTCCAACTCGGAAATTCTTCATAACATGACCACATGTAAACACTATGAAAATTTCACTTCCTGTAAAGCTAGTTTTTGGTGCGTAGACACAGATTCGAGACTGCCCAAATAGTAATCTCCAACACAAAGCTAAAATATTATCCTGAAAAAAATGAAACCCCACATTGTCCACTTTAACATGACAGGACCAATTTTAGCAAGGATTTTTTTTTTCATTTTTAATTAAAACCTTTATAATGGGGTAATCTAATGCTACCTTATACATCACAATTAGTTTTTTTAATTTCATTAAAATCCCTCTGAGTGTCTAGAAAATGATCACACGAACAAAACAATATATCGCTTTACTGTGTATCTTGAATAGCTATCGAGTAATATGGATTTTCCCGCATGGTGTGTTTTGACCAATTCTGCTCTCAAATTAGGAAGAAAGGGAGGTAATTTGAAAAATTAAAACCTCAATAAGTCTTAAATTTACTTGAATAAAGTTGCAATTGAAACTGAATCAAGTAGTTTGTGCTTCTGTGAATTTAGATAACTGAAAAGCAGATTGATACTACATATATAAAGTCTTATGTTATGACGTCATGGTAACAGCTGATGTCATCAGTACTATGACGTCATCAATTGCTAATGATGGCTTCACCAATGCACTGTGATGTCATAGTGAAGGCTAGAAATCCAACAAAAACTTCAAATTAGCATCTGACACATTTCTCGAAAGTAATTAACAGTGATATGACATAAGATATTCTTAAATGTCATGTGTATGACATCACAAACACCTATGCTTACTGCCCCCCACCCTTCTTCAAGTGTAATATTAGAAACCCTATTACATTGCAATATTGTTCGAAAAATAGTCTTTTTTACAGCAGTAACTATGGAAATG